GCGTATTGTTGACAAGAAATATCAAGGTAGCTCATTTATTTTTATCTTTATATTCTTATATCAACTTCATAGTCCCTTGATTAACATACAGGGCATGGTTTAATGCAATAAAGTTTGAGTAAAAGATTATCTTGACTATATGTTACGGCAGTTTAAAAAACTAAAAAGGAAAAATGTTTCTTATTAAAATAAATTTGATGATTCCAATACTTAAACTTTATTTATGTAGAAAAATTTAAAACAAATAACTCTCAAATGTTTATACATTTTGAATGGATGATAAATATTATAAATATACTCGAACGCGACATATGGCAAGTGAGCATTTGTGTAAAGTTTAAAATACGATATTTTTGCAAATAAATGGACAAACAATTTCATCGCTGCGAGTTTAGAACCTGCTACTTCCGTTTAAAGCACAATACATTACACAATAAATTATTTATTGTGTAATGTATTGTAATGTATCATAATATAGCTAGGCCACGTCTCGTTCATAATAGGAATTATTATGATTTCCGTTCAGAAATCAACCCTGGCTCCCATACATTGTTTCTGGAACGAGAACACCGGCTTGGTACAAGCTATGAGGGTCCATCCTAAATCCTTATTGACATATCCAGTTCTGTTGAATTAAATATGCGATTTTAATCATAGCCCTTATTTGTTTAGGACTGAAATTTGCTCCAATACTAAGTGTACAGTTAAGGTCTATGGAAAGAATGACATACTAGATGTTGCTACGGCTTTGCTCGCTTAGATTTAATTTAATGTATGCTGACTTAGATTAAGAGATTAAAAATTTAAGAGACTCTTATCTGGGTAAAATGTAGGTTAAACTTAACTCAATCAGATTTGTTGATTCTTTTTTTTTTTTATTTAATTACGACCAGTTTGAATTTTCTATCTACAGATTTATTTGGTTACTGGAGATAGAATTTTGACATAAGTATGATGGAGGTCTTGCAAAGAATGCTTGAAATTTTATATATAAAGCGTGTCTTTACAATCGCGACAATAAATGAACACACATATAGAGGATAACTTTTTAAAGCTGTATTAAACATTTACATTCTTTAAACATCAATATTTACAAAGTTATTGAATTTTCCAAAACAAACAATTTTAGAACATCCTTACGTATAAAACTGTAACGTAAAGCTCATTTGTAAAGGTCACAAAGCACATTAATCAGTTGAATGAATTTAAAAGAGACAAAACATACTGTTAGAAGGAGAGGCTTGTAATGCGACGCTGTGGCAACGAAAGAAAGTCTCTGAATGTGTGAATCAGTCAGTTGTAGTTGTATAGGATGTTACAAATTTTGTTTCTTTTTTACTTAATTAGTTTGTTTTTAATTTTTTTTTTATTATAAATTTTTTAAAGTTAATATTTTTTTATGGTTATTGGCAAGTAGCGTTAGACGTGTGTTCATTTATTGTTGCGATAGTAACGACACGCTGTATAGCTATAAACTGAGGAAAAAATTCCTGTTACATTGCTCAAACGCTCTCAGCTTGTTTGATAATATATTTTATAAGAACAAAAAAACTGTAACGAAGAAATTTCGACTTCAAGGGCGAATACCGAAACTTTGGAACGAAATTCTCAGTTAAACCCTTTTCAAGCTCTTCCAGTAAGAATCTGAGCGGACCCTCGGTTATAATCATCCCCTAAACGTGTCTTTCACGGCATCAATTAATGCAAACGACAATAATTACTTTTGCCGAGGGCCGTTGTTATCTTTTATAGACACGAAATTTCATAATTTGTATTATGTCGAAAAGTTTATAAAGGAACGGGACTAATAAACGTTAAACAATTCACTCTTTATGAATAATTAAAGTGTTGTGTAATTACTTGGAGGAGTTTCAAAACGTACTTGTTCTTTGTAGGTAACGTGAAATAATCATTTCAAATCACTAATGGCCTTGGTTAGGACTTGCACTCTTAAGGAAACGGGATCGAATTAAATTTGGAAGCTCCAATGAAAATTTGTTAATGTAAGTTTATGTGAGAAGGTGCCAAGCGAGCTGGCAGTTTACTCAAGTGACACACAAACTTAATTTAAAAAAAAAATTAACTGGGCTTCGGTTATCTCACTCACAATCGGTTATCTCAATCGCGTCTTTTGTGGGGTCGTGGTACTTACCCATTTGATGATTGACGGTGACAAATCCGTGTTTATTTAAGCGCCTCAGTCCACTCGAAAGGATTTTAGCACTTGATTATTATTAAGATTATAACATACTAGCTGCTGCCCACGACTACGTCTGCGTAGAATAGGCTGAAGGCGTAACATTCAGACAGACAGACGTATAGCCTATGTCTTATTCTGGTGTATAAGCTATATTATTGTAAAGTTTCATTAAAATCTATTCAGTAGGGCGTGAAAGGGTAACAAACATCCATCCATACATACAAACTTTCGCCTTTATAATATTAGTAAGGAAGTATGGATATAACGCAATATTTACGCCCAATTCAATGGGACTCCCTAAAGTTTCATGAAACGAGCCGTTGTCCTCACCCTGTCCACCCAAATATAACTTGGGTAAGCAGCTTGTCTTCACATTAATCGTATTAAAAAAATCCATGGAATACGACCTAAGTCATACGTCTTATACAATCGCAAATGGCGTACAAACGATCTCATGGCGACGGAATATGCGTATGTTGTTGACAGTAACGGCTTCTGTTGAACTTTATCACCGTGCACTTAAGTAATAAATATCATTTTATTCTATCGCACCTCAACTCAGTATCTGCTTTGATCATTCGATCCCGGTAACAGATACAAGTTTTTTTTAATATGTTTATGTATAAAACATTGCCCTTACTTTAGGATAACATTATCCTGTGTTGTAGGGACGTTTTACAAGCATAAATTTCACGCGGACAAACACCCAGATGCGAAAGAACTATCTGTGGGTCACACAAATAGTTGTCCCGTGTGGGAATCGAACCCCCGACCCCCAACGCCGAAGCCAATACCTTGGCAACCGCGCCACGGAGTCAAGTACAGAAGTAAACTTTAAAGTATTGAAAGTAAAGTAATAGCAAAAGTAATATATATGTCCTACTGCAGGGCATAGGCCTCCTCTGTAAAAAGGTTATTAGGACATAGTCCATCACGCGTACCCACTGCGGATTAGCGGACTTCACATGTTCAAAATATTTTTTTTTTTTGGGTGGATGGTAATCCATTGACGATCATAAAAAGCGTAGTGGTTAGTGAAGCAGTCTTCTAAGGCAAAAAGTCAGGGTGTTTGAATATCCATACTAATAGTTAATATTATGAATGCGAAAGTAACTCTGTCTGTTTGTCTCGCTTTGACGCCAAAACTACTGAACCGATTTTAATGAATTTTGGTACACAGATAGTCTAGAGCCTGAGAAAGGACATTTTTTAATTGGAAAAAAAGGGTGGTAAAGCGTTGAAAATATCTTAATATTTATTTAAGGGCTTCAACTCAAGCGATGCCGTGAGCGATAAGCTAGTCTACAATATGTATTTATTTACAAAAGAAAAGTGTTTTTCTAAACATATCATTTACCCATAGTAAAAGCTTCTCTTAGTTTAGGACGTGATAATATTGATAATGTCCTGTATTCTTGCGATTACTAACAATGACATTCAGGCGTCCAACCCCCTGAAAAATAGAAATAAACGCGATGGAACTGTAAATAGTATCATGTAGATAATAATGTTTAAAAATCCGAGGATTCCGTGGCGCAGTTGTCATCACTAAACTGTTAAAATACATTAAATCAAAATCACCGTGATTTTTATCACCGAGATTTTATCGCTTCGGTTCTTGAAAGCAGTTTTAATAGAGCTGAACTAATATTAACGAAACATCAAATGGTTGAAACACAAAACTCTGGAGAATTGCGCTAAGCGGAATTATTTAAATATTATGAGAGCCATCAAAGAGGCTCAATCGTGAAAGGCTTGGAAAGGGAACGAATTATTATATCTTATCGTGGGCCTTTCGCTACATTTCCGTTCGGAGATTTATAATTCATTACTGCGAGCCGAAGGGATCGTGGGGCGGACGAATGAATACATTCCGCTGGAACAACGCTTTAATGGCATAATCAGGCTTAATTTGTTTATCAACGCTCTACTGATTAACCGTAATTAGCTCAGCGGTAAGGCCGGGTTTGAACTCGGGCTTATTTCGGAAGAATTTCGCTCAGCCACCTTTAAGCCAATAAGGTTTGCTGACGGCAGATACGGAAGAACCTGAGACATATTTGACTTATTAAATTATTGTCATCGATAGTCGTTTTGGCAGATATATTGTAAATGTTTTTCTGTTGAAACGAGCTATCACAAGTATTGTATTAGTAATGTATAGATAGCAAGCAGTTGTAGTACGTTATGTAAGCGATAGCGTATCACGGAAAGGCTTAAAACGGCACTTGTTAATATTACATTTTTATTGTCTTTTATATTAAAATTGCTCACACCAATGTCATCTGATTGGATCAAGCAGCCACTATTTTATTTTAATAAATCTCTTTACGGCGAAATCACTTTCTGTGATAAAATAGCAGTTTATATACCATCTGGTGTCATGAAATAAATAGCCCTTCCATAGAATTGCCATTCACAAATGTTTTTCGTTTAGTCCGCTGAGTAAGGTACACAACGGACGCTTCTTCAGTGGCTGGCAACGCACGCGCTGGTGGTGTAGGAAGTTTCGGCTTGCCTTGCTCAATTGCTATCACTTTTTTTTATATCAGACGGTGGAAAGCGAGCTGACTGTTCACCTCACGTTTAGTGATAAACAAGGCCCAACGACATTTGCAACACCCATAGGGTGCGGATGCGTTGCCACCTTCCACTAAAACGGGCAACGGTTACCTCACGCACCCGACGAAACGCAGAAGTGTAACACTGGAAGTGTCACACACTTCGTAACGCGTAACGCGGTACTTCCCCGGACGGACCTGCCCATTCGTGCAACGGCGAATGAAATTAGCGTAAGAAAATGACGGCGTCGAAAGGAAAAGCGTGGACGCGTCGGAGCGACACCGCCATTTCCCCGATCGCCGCTGTAACGTATTACACCGGCCGGCAATTAGCGTGCGGCACCGGCGCAAGGCACCGACGCGCGGCGGGTCGGAAATCGAGTACAATCACGCGCATCGCACACCCAACTACTGGCTGGACTTTCTTCGCCGCCGCCGGTCGAAGCGACGCGCGGCAGCGGAAGCGTTTTACTTACCTCCGACAGATACGCTGTGAAGCTAACAAAGCATTGGCAACGATGATTTTCAGTAAGGCAATAAACTATATCGCTCTCGGTAAAGTTATATAAAGTAACTGTTAATTTTATTTTAATTATGAACGTCACTTTATAGTATTTATCGCGGATCTAATTATATTAGAAGTGAATATTTAAACGACAAATTTTCATTCAACTTTGCTGCTATTATTAATTCATTTCCCACCTTGAAAAATTGTTGCTTATAAATATAATTAAACTAGCAACCCGCCCCGGCTTCGCGCGGGTGCAATGTATTATTCATATAAACCTTCCTCTTGAATCACTCTATCTAGTAAAAAAAACCGCTTTAAGATCCGTTGCGTAGTTTTAAAGATCCAAGCATACATAGGGACAAACAGACAGCGGGATGACTTTGTTACTTTGTTTATACTACACGTAAAGATCTATCATAATTTAAATAATATTCCTCGAATAAACTAAGCCCCCGCTTGTCGCTCGCACCACACATTAAACGTCCGCCATTAACAAACGACCAACACGAGTGCCGGCCAGCCGCGTCACGCGAGCCTTACGTAACGAGGAAACATGTCGCCAGTTGCATTCCGAATCCACTTTTGAATTGCCCCTAACGAATGTTAAGCGGCTAGTTTAAATTGCTAAACTTCCCTAGCTCTTGACAGATCAGTCCACGATACTAATAAAGCATTATAAGACGTCAAGTAAAGCTAAACTATGAAGTTCAGTTATAGGCCAAATGTAGTCTTATGAATAATTCTTTGAGAATGAGCTTCACATATTGATCGCTTTGATACTGAATAAGCGTTTGTCATTTAGACTTTACATTAAACATTTATGGAACTGGACTCCTTCACTGCTGGCCTTATGAGGAAGCTCAAAGTCGCTCAGCGAGCTATCGAGCAGGCTATGCTCGGTATTTCTCTGCGTGATAGAGTTCGTAACGAAGACATCGGGAGTAGAAACAAGGTAACCGATATAGCTCAGAGGATTAGCAAGCTGAAGTGGCGATGCGCCGGCCATATAGCTCGTAGAACCGATAACCGTGGGGAAGAAAGGTTCTCGAGTGGCAGGCTCGTACTGGCCATCGCAGTGTAGGACGACCCCCCACTAGATGGAGTGACGACCTGTGCAAATGTGCGGGAAGTCGATGGATGCAGGTGGCTCAGGATCGTACTTCATGGCAGTCTGTGGGGGAGGCCTATGTTCATTAGTATGGACTCAAACAGGCTGAAATGATGATGATGATGATGATTTATGGAACAATCAAATTTGAGAGTTTATGTTTACTAAAATTGAGATATTCAATTGTGAAAGTGATTCCATTGAAATGAATTATAGTTAGTAACTCAGTTATACAACATAAAAAAATAACCTTTTTATGTTTTTTCCCTTTTGTTAACCCGAATGGCGTAGTGGATAGTGTATCTGCCTCCTGCGCCAGAGGGTGTGGGTTCGATCTCCACTACTGGAGAAATATTGTGTGATGAACATAGTGTTTTTCTAGAGTCTGGGTATAATTTGTATTTATTTACAAAAGAAAAATATGTTTAAGAATTATCAGTTATCTAATACCCATAGTACAAGCGTTTTTTTTTAATTTGGGATTAGAGATTGTTGTGTAAAAATGTGTTCTATATTTTTTAATTTAATTTTAATTTAATCGAACTCTGAGGTTTTTCAACATTCATGTAGAGACTGTACGAGCTCTGCTTTCTGGCACAAGAGAGTAACTGTACTGTAATCGTGTAGTGATCAGTAAACTGAGTTTGTTGTGTATATCGGATCATCGATCTTTAGGAGTCCATAATTCATTACTTCTTTTTTTACAACTAGCTGCTGCCCGCGACCACGTCTGCGTAGAATGGGCTGAAGGCGTAAAATTCAGACAGAAAGACAGTTATACCTAAAAATATGTATGTAAATTATAGTCCATGTTTTATTCTGTGTAAGCTGTATTATTGTAAAGTTTCATTATAATCCATTCAGTAGTATTTGCGTGAAAGAGTAACAAACATCCATCCATAAATAAAAAATTTCGCCTTTATTATACTAGTAAGGACTAGTAAGGATTTCTATGTAGATTTTCTATGCCAAGCAAATTACACATTTAGGCATCCCATTTTCAACGATTATACCCGGAGCTAGTTAGTCCGCATATGAAAACGGCACAAAAATGCCGCCTGCTACCGACACGTGAAAAATAAAAATAGCCGTTTTCGAGAGTACTCTGTTAATTTTAAAAAGTCCGTGGACAAAGGTTTTTTCACTTCTTTGCCCACTGCCTGTGTGATGAATATTTTCTTTCTTAAAAAAATGTTTACGGGATCAAATAATACAAACAAGTTGTACCTAAATAATAAGAAGGAAGACGTCAGGGCGTGAATCCCAGAGACGCGGGTCTACGATTCCCAGAGCGGTGAAAAACTTTAATAAATTTTAATGTTAAATCTTAAGTGCAGATTAGCACTATAAAAAGTAAAATTTGGAAAAAAGTTGTAACCTAAATGATAAGAACTAGTTGAGTCTATTTATCATGGAAGCTGAGAAGCGTTGAAAATCATTGGATTTGAAACGAGTAAAATTTTTTATTAACGAAAAACAAAACCGATTTCAAATATCTCGCTCTGTATTCATTTTATAATTGACTTTCAAGAGTTCCATTCTACTGTCCGGAGCCCAAGATCCGTACCAATGAAATTAATATGTGACCGCAAGGAAGGCAAGAGCTTTTAAATAAAAAAGAATCATAAAAATCGGTTCCCTCTGTCGAAAGTTCTGAGGAGGTTCTCTCCTCCTTTTTTGAAGTCGGTTGTTGCTAGAGTAGTTAGTACAGAGTAAAAACTTCGTAAACGTACAGAGTGAAGGCTTTTCCGGAATTCACAATGGCTTTCTGGATTATTTCTCGTATAAAGCCAGCGCACAGCACAATCGACAAAAATGTTTTTGCAGATTCCATCCGTTTGGAGCGTGACAACCGTTTGATTTGGTATTTGGGTTACTTGATTGAGCGTACACAGCGTTTCGGGAAACGTATATTTTTTTTTTGTATTTCCTAATTTATTTGCGAACATTCAACGTCGTTACGGACGAAGATATGTCAAAAAGAATATTTTGAATAGTAAAATAGCAGTTATATACTAAGACGTGTAGATTTGTGATCTGATTTTATAATAAATCCATGCATTAAAAGTTTTCGCGGTCATCCAGAGATTTAAGCGCATAAAAAATATTTAAATTAAGAGACAATTAAATGTTATTCTTAAATATCTATCATAAATCTAATCTTACTTTGCATATGCCAACTTTCGATTTTCCTGATGTTAAGAGATGGACGCCCTTCATGGACATTTACAAAACCTGTAGAATTGCAAATGCCGTGAGTACTTTCCTGCCATATCTATTCGTGCAACTGCCAAGACTGCTAGACCTTAACTACCGGAGCTCCACGCAACAGTCTTCGCTGTTGCACGAATGGGCAGGTCCGTCCTGGGTAGTACCACGACCCCACAGAAGACCGGCGTGAAGTAAAAGTGTTACACTTCTGCGTTTCGTCAAATGAATGAGGTAGCCGGCGTCCACTTTATTAAAAGGTGGCAACGCATCTGCAACCCAACGGGCGGCGGTCAAAATCTTATAATTAGGTGAACCCCCTGCTCGCTTGCCATCTTCTAACATAAAAAAATAATAATTGACAAGTGTATAATGCATAATACTTTGGTATACACACATCATATCCTATCTAGTGGAAAATTCACAAAAATTTAACTTTGCAAGTGCTAAGCGACAGAAAACAAAATAATAAATCAGTATAAAAAATAGAAAGAAGGTACGTAAGTTCAACCTATTTGTGCAGTCCTTAAACAGATATTCTAAGCTGTTCTGTAGATTAGAGAATTTCATCAAACACCGAATAGATTTGTACTGCCTGCAAGTAAGGTTACTTTATCCATAGAAATCACACGTATGTAGAACGGGCGTGTTGGAATCCAATTACATAATCCCACCGCTCAAGAATTCTCCAAAAGACCGTAAGCCGACATAGCTGGCAGCGTTTCAACTACTCAAGGCTGTATCTCGCGTTTAGAGAACGAAGGTCACCCTCGAGAATTTCAACGATTGAAACTGTACCCAATACTGTCGCATAACTATTTGTAATGGTAATAACGTAATGCCTGCTTACTTGAAATTGTGAATGTCTATCTTGTTTATTAAATGTATGATAGACGTCTGCAATTATGAAGCCTTGAAATATGAAGGTTTTTATCTAGGAAATTTTCGATAATTCATTTAAGATACAAGAAAAATATGTCAGTAATAAGAATTATACCTTGGCATAACTCTCATTATTGCAAATGATCGATTGTTAATTATTAAGAAGTCTTTAAAATAATCAAACAAAATAAAAAATCGCGTAGATGAAATAAAGATAAACAATATAACATAGGAAATGTCTTACCGTAGTAAAGTAAAGTAAAGTAACAGCATGTCCCACTGCTGGGCAAAGGCCTCCTCTATACAGAGGGTATCAGGGCATAGTCCACCACGCGACCCCACTGCGGATTGGTGGACTTCACATATCTTCGAAATATATTTTTTTGTTATTATTTCGAAAATATGCAGGTTTCCTCACGATGTTTTCCTTCACCGCGGAGCACGCTGACTTACAGCACTTAAAGTTAAAAACTTCATTGGTGCCGGCACCGGGGATCGAAGTCAGGTTGCTCCAGTATATTGAATTAAAGGCTAGCGCCCGGACACTGAGCTATCACGGCTCTTACCGTAGATTCTGCAAATATCTGAAACCAAATTAAAATACTGCATTCGACTAATTAAAACGTTCAATACAACAAATTATTAAACAGGGTGTAAAAAGTACAAGATAAAGTGTATAAAACACATTCACTTCAAATAGTGAAGTTCTAAACAATTTCTTCACATTTTTAACTCTTACTCAAAGTACCACAGGTACCCGTAGCATTAAACTGTGTCCACAATTCCACGGTTATGCGTTATCGTATTCTTAGGTTGGCAGGCAACTCTCCATTGTCTCCTATCACGTTATCTCAATG